CTCATGCGTGTTGCTTTTCTGCCCCCCTCAGATAATACCAGCTCTGTGTTGCTGTGTTTGGATCCAGAGTGATCTCCTGTGAATATGTTAAGAACCCAGCTCTGGTGGTGGGCTCTGCTGCTGACAGTAAAACTCCACTTCAGTCGGTGAGACGTTTGTCCATTCCTCTCTCAGGACGTCCTGTAGTTTGTCTCTGACTGCTGACAGGGCCGCCGTCACGTCCTCAAAGTAGCTCAGAGGACGGATGTTGATGCTGGAGGAGTGTGTAGCTTCACTGAGGGCTGGCAGTGAGGGGTAGCTGAGCAGGAACTGGTTGTGATCCTCTGTGTGAGACAGCAGCGTCAGCTCAGCGTCTCTCCTCTTCAGCTCAGAGATCTCCTGCTCCAGCTTCTCCTGGAGCTCTCTGACTCGACTCACTTCTCTCTTCTGCTGGGATCTGAGCTGCTGCTTCACATCAGAGCTTCTCTTCTCCATGAGACGGATCAGCTCAGTGAACGTCTTCTCACTGTCCTCCACTGCTTTATCAGCAGAGCCGTTGACGGCCTCCACCTCCTGCTGAAGCAGCTTCACCTCCTTCTCTCCGTCCTGGATCCTCTGCTGGATGTTTAGTCGACTCCCCTCCAGCTCTCTCTGCCTCTCAGTCCTCTCTGCTGCAGCTGACACCGTGTCGTGGCCTTTGTGTTCGTCCACAGAGCAGAGAGAACAGATACTCTGCTGATCAGTGCGGCAGAACAGCTTCTTCACCTCGTCGTGACGAGAGCAGATGTTCTCCTGGAGCTTCTTGGAGGGCTCCACCAGCTTGTGCTTTTTAAAGACAGGTGATTCATAATGAGGCTGGAGGTGTTGGTCACAGTAAGAGGCCAGACACACGAGGCAGGACTTACAGGCTCTCAGTTTCCTCCCAGTGCAGACATCACAGGCCACATCTCCAGCTCCAGCATAGCAGAGATCAGCAGGAGCAGCTGGGGGTCCAGTCTTCTTCAGCTCCTCCACTAAAGCTGCTAACATGGTGTTCTTCAGCAGGACAGGCCTCGGTGTGAAGCTCTGCCTGCACTGAGGGCAGCTGTGGATTAGCTCTCCATCCCAGTGCTGTTTAATACACTTCATGCAGTAGCTGTGTCCACAGGGAATAGTCACCGGATCCTTCAGTAGATCCAGACAGATGGAACAAGAGAAGGTTTCCCGGTCCAGCTGAACTCCTTTCTGCGCCATTTCACCTCTCAGTAGCAGCGAGTGTGTGAGTTTCACTTCCTGAGAGCTGAAACTAGTGTGACAGGTTATCTGAACAGCATGTGTGTGTGCAGTGAATGTGGCTTATCAGCTCTTGTACTTTGCCCACATGTTGGTTACAGCCCTCCTCCTCAGTGTGGATCTGAAGGGAGGAACCAGGAAGTACAGAGTGGAGCTGGCTGTGTCTGAGAGCAGGAAGAAGAGGGAGGGCTCATCAAACTCTGAGTCATTCCAGGAAGAGGAGCAGCGCTCAGACTCTGACCTACACATGACCAGCCATTTGAGTATTTATTCCATATCCTTGATATCAGACGGAAGCTGCCTACAGTTGGCTCTTTGATTTCACTTGTTAGATATATGGTCACTAGTTTGGCACTCTGCTTTACTAGTTAAATAAAACATTATACTAGTCGCTCTTTTTCAGCAACTAGTGGCACTTTTGTCCGATAGTTACCACATAAGCCTTACTAGTTACGCCAGGAGCAGCACTAGTAGCACCAAAGTCCCAACATGTAAGCTTTTTGATGAACTAGTGGCCCTCTGACCGTACTAGTGACACTAAAAGTCTTACAAGTTAACTAGTGCGCTGCAAAAGCTCTGACATGTTAACTAGTTACAAAAAAGAAGCAGAACTAGTTCTAGTGGGGCTCAAAATGTTCACGTTATATATAGTATAATACGCACACACACACACACACACACACACACACACACACCAACACACACACACACACACACACACACACACACACACACACACACACACACACCTCATCGTGTACAAAATGGCCTCTGGTTACTGTGATTTATTTTTATTTTTAAAGCCAATGTAGAGAACACTACCAAACAGTGTGTCGTGCTGTAATGTAAGGCTGACTTTCCCACATCCCCCCCCCCCCCCCCCCCCCCTTCTGCCCGACAACACTACGGACGCTGAAATGAAATGTGTTTTTTAGTGTTTTTGTGTATAGAGAAAAGGGCTCTCTGTCAAATCACACAAATGTTATGGTCACTATTACAATATTAAGACTGCGGAAATGCAATGTAAGGCATCATGATGACACAATCGTAAATGAAAGCGTGGTATATTAAATGCATTAAATATATATATGACTGTGCTTTGAAGAGAGGGTTCACATGTGTTTGTGATGCCTTACATGTTTAACTCCCTATATCCAGCCACAAAGCACCCGTTCTGTTACTCTCCCACGCGTAAGGATTTGCACTTTTACATAGAAGCCTATTTAAGTTATTTTGAATTTAAAAATCGCAAATGTTTCTGGAATATTTGTACAGGTTGTGTAAATGGTTGTGTATAACTGTTGCTGTTTAACAGTTTCTTTTGAGTTCAACTGTAAATGACATCTGAATTTCCTCCTCCTCTTCCTCTCCTCTTCCTCATGCCTTGATTCTCCCAACTTTTTTTTTTTTTAAATAAATGTCGCATTAACAGCTCCTCGTGGTTCCATGCTTTATTTTGAAATGGTGTCAAAAAGTATGCCTGTGACTTTCTCTGTAGAATGTTCTTTTTGTAGGTTCTGTATAAACTGTAAACATGAAGTAATCCCGCTGAAAATATTAAAGCCTAAAGGTGTTTACGCCTGCAGAAAAAAAACAAGGTCTTTGGGAATCCTTACTGAGACAACAGCAGAGGTGTAAAGTAACTAAGTACATTTACTCAAGTACCGAACTCAAGTACAATTCTGAGGTAGCCTACTTGTGTATTTCAATGTGATGCTGCTGTGTACTTTTACTCCACTACAGTTCAGAGGTAAATGGTGTACTTTATTTAATACCTTTAGTTACTTCACAGATGTGGATGAATGATGTGAAATATAATCAAGTGTTAAATCAGACTTTAGTTCCACCTGGAGTAAATTCACAAGCTAGAGTCTCACAAAAAAACGTGTAATAACTACGTTGGTCCACAACGTAGGACGTAGTATTTCTACAAAAACGCCTCTGAAATTGTAAGATCCCTACGTTTTTTTTCACCATTCATTCCAATGGCTGGCGTCTATGTCACGTGATCTTCACATTTCTCCCTGCAGAAAAAAAAAAACATGGCCGAACTTCGTTTTATTCTCGGTGTAAAATGCCTATTTTAAGGTTAGTTTGGTCATTAAAATGCGTTTTGATGTCATTTGATGCGAGAAATATGAGTTGTTATTTCAGATTATGTGTGCAGTGGATGCACATGATCTTTAGTTTGCTGGTTATTACGAAGATTACTTCAGGAAATTGTGTCTATAGAACGTTTTCATTGTGACCAAGGTGGTTGCTAGGGACGCTGCTATCGATATAATTTCTGTTATGTTGTGTAACTGTTTAATGGTGTTATCTTTATTGCTACCCCTTTCCCCGTCAATGTATAGTGTTGGTCCACAGAGCAAACGTATTAGTTTAACAAAATCCGCATCTAAAATTGTGGCATATCCATCCATCCATCTTCTCCCGCTTATCCGTGGTCGGGTCGCGGGGGTAGCAGTTCCAGCAGAGAGCCCCAAACTTTCTTTTCCCTGGCGACATCAACCAGCTCTGACTGGGGGATCCCAAGGCGCTCCCAGGCCAGCGAAGAGATATAATCCCTCCACCTGGTCCTAGGTCTACCCCTTGGTCTCTTCCCAGCTGGACGTGCCTGGAACACCTCCCTAGGGAGGCGCCCAGGTGGCATCCTAACTAGGTGCCCGAACCACCTCAACTGGCTCCTTTCGACGCGAAGGAGGAGCGGCTCAACTCCGAGTCCCTCCCTGATGACCGAACTTCTCACCTTATCCCTAAGGGAGACACCAGCCACCCTGCGGAGAAAACCCATCTCGGCCGCTTGTATCCGCGATCTCGTTCTTTGTGGCAGAGATACGTTATTTTCCCCTGTGCAATTCTCCATTTACTCAATAACACATCATTATCCTGTGTTTATTTATTTGTTTGATTAATTAATAAACACAAGTTGGAGTCCGTCAGGACCGAGGGTCGGAGCAGCTCATTTGCTTTACAGAATATTACACCCGGAAGTAAGTATTCTCTCCGCGTCGCTTGACAAACCCCGTGATAGTCTTCAAGCTCTGTGATTGGAGAGTGTGCGAGCGTCGAACAGCACGATTGAAATGGGATGGAACCACGGCAGACTGTCCAAAACTGGATTTGAACGGGTCCACCCCGTACCCCCCTCCCCTCCCCCCACCCCGTCCCAGAACTACACATGCTGGCTATTGTGTTTCGCAACCATGTTCGCAACATGTTCTATGGCACGTCTCTACTGGGAGTTGTAGTTTTAAAAGACGTTTTCGTATTTCCCATAATAAGAAGTTGCCAGTATTAAACTGTGTCCATCCCTGGAGGTTTAGGGGATAGGAAACACACAAATGTAAAACATATAATTAATAAATGGGTGAAAATTGCTTGTGCCCATAATGGGCAGCATTACCCACATGCCAGCTAAGGTCAGAAGAGCTTTATTTAACAGCTGGTCTTATGTTTGTGACCCTGTTGTTAATTGATAAGCCTGAAACATGCACTTGTCAAGGTCAGAGGCACATTTTGCAAATATGGCAGTAGCCATCGATCATCTTAAGATAAGATATACTTTATTGATCCCAAGTTGGAACATTTGCGTTACATCAGCATGTGTAACAGTTGTAAATATGCAGTGGTGTATATTTGTAAATCATTTAGTATAATCACACAAATTCTGTGTTTTATATTTAATAATTCTGTGTTCTTTATTTATTGATTGTTCAATACCTGACAAGGTCGGAGATGAAAAACTTTGGTCGCAGGTTCCTCAACAGTGCATTACAAGACATCTATCAATATGTGTGTACCTCCACCATTAAATTGTCGTGTTCTGCACATTTCTTATACTATCTACATACATCTTATATAAGAGTATAATACATATGTATAATATCAGTTAAAATAAGTGCTTCAACATAGTTAACATTGCTGGAGGTATCCACAACGTTTTTCATTCATTGCATAACTACACCGTTTGTGTATATGATATGTCAATAAACCTTAGAACATCTTGAAAGGGATGTGCAAAATAGTCATTATATACAGTCTTTAATTAACTATTAGTAGAGAATAACGAGTAATGAATATACTTTATAGGGATCCTATTAATATCTAATAATAAAAATAATGAAATGCAATAACATGCTTTAACCACTAGGTGTCCCTTTATATCAGCTGTGCACCTTTATGGTGTAAATACAGCCTATCTACCAATTGGATCAAATATAAAAGTCAGCCGAATTAGTGTTGATACTGCAAGGAGACGCATTGTGTGAAAATAAATGTAAGATGTTGTTTAATGGCTGATATTTATGATCCATGTCACGTTTTCAGTGTGTGGCGGCAGTTCCTCATGTTTGTCTAGAAGTCTTCTCATCAGGGCTCTATAAATACAGAACTACGGCAGATATGTAATATTTAATGCAGCCGAACCGTGTATTACAATGCCGTTATGTGATGACCTCAAAGAGAAAAGCAAGCACACTCGGAATAAAGTGTTTTCGGTCTGTTTCCGGTATTTGTTTATGACGATGTGATGTGAGACTGGAATTGCACAGGGGAAAATAACGTTCTATGCCACAATTTTAGATGCGGATTTTGTTAAACTAATACGTTTGCGCTGTGGACCAACACTATACATTGACGGGGAAGGGGGTAGCAATAAAGATTACACCATTAAACTGTTACACAACATAACAGAAATAATATCGATAGCAGCAAAGTAAAAGTCATAAAAGTCAGTCAATGCTTTCCAAAAGCACGAGCAGTGAACTCCAGGCCCACGTGACTGAACTCAAAATTGAAAGAAACAGACTAAGAAATGACGTAAGCTCCATGATCAAAACTGCCAAAAAGAATTTCATCAATGTCAAAACTGAGGAAAACAAAAATAAACCCTGTGAACTTTGGAAACTACTCAATAACCAGCTTGGCTGCAGTAAAAAACTCAAAACGAGATTGGACTGGAACTGGAAGAGTAGGACAAATAGTGATGAAGCTTAATATTTCAAAGAAAAGTTGAAAAGGTTGAAACCGTTTGAAATGACTGTCAGTGCTGATGGAAATCAGGCGGAAATAAATTGATTGTTTTACCCAGGAATAAGTGTTTACAAGGCGGGTAACACACACACACACACACACGCACACACACACCCCTTGCGTTTTGAAGACTGATAAATCCGAAATGGATGAACAGCAGCCCAGTTTCCCAGCTTTGCAGTCTATCCACGGGTAGCCTCTTGTTTCCTCTGCCACATGTCCTCCGTCCATACCTCTGGGAAAGGTGAGCTTGAGCTAGCCAGGGGAACGTTGCTAGCGCAGCTAACGTGCACGTTAGCTAGCATTATCCACGCGGCTCTTCTGATGATGTAGTACTAGTAGCAGCTTCACTTGAGCTTCGGTGCTGCTAGCTTCTTTCTTCTTGTGAATTATATTCTTTTTAGAAAAGTCAAGTAAAAAAACGTTTACCTTCCATTATAGAGCTTTTTCGTTAGCGTTCTTGAGGGAAAGAGCTGCCGCAAAATCGGCGGGCGGTGAGCTCGCTGCGGGGTCACCAGCGTGATGACGAATCATCTTTTGAAGGAAATTGTTTTTATTTTTTATTATAGGCCATTACTGTGAAATGTATTATGTTTTTGTCATTATTACAACAAATACACACTTGCAACTGATAAGACTGGCAATGATTTTATATTTATTAGACTATTAAAAACAAGATCATGCTCCAAATAAGTGGGGGTACGGCGTACCCCCGCGTCCAACGCCCACTACTACACCACTGGACATAACACAAGAAGAACATCCTGTTTTTGTTTTTTGAAAGATAAACCTTATTAATGATCCAAACATTTCCTTTGATCACACATCCCATCAGTAAAGTGTGTTCAATGATTTCATGATCAGTTTCTCTTTATCCACCATGATGTGTTTCATCTCAGCTGTTTCAAACAGAACCAGACATGATTTCCTTATTGATTATTATCATGATGAGTTATGTTCTATAAAACATCAGAGTACCCACCTTCTATTTGGACAACAACAACAGACAACAACAACAACAACAATTAGTTATCATTATATAGTCATCATAATATCATTTTAAATAAACATGTGATGATGAAATAAGTGTGATAACCATCTGGGAACTCATGTGTTTGTTAATTTGGGCAACAATAACATTTAATCTGTCAGAATAATACATGTGCTTATAAATGTCTCTGTTGTTTAGAGCCAGAATAAAATGTGTAGAATAAAAGAAGCTGTGCTGCTTTCTCTCTGAAGACTCGTGCACTACAAGAGAAACAACAACAAGAATCAAAAGAAATATCCAACACATATTTAGAGCAAAGTTTACACATCAGTTCAGGTGAACAAGGATCCTCCTGAGCAGTGACAGCCTCCATGGCGACACAGACACAGGAAGGATGCCGGAAGAAAGTCCAACATCTACAGAACAACTGTGAGAGACTGTTGAAGCACATCCCATCATGTTTTGATTGACAGCTGATCTTCTTGCCAGTAAGACCATGACAATCATCTCTGAAGGACACACGGTGAGTTTAAGAAGTAGAAGAGTTCCTCCAAGGACTTCAGGCTATTTTGGTTTTACAAAACTCAGCAGTGGCTCCATAAGATAAACTCCAGCATGTAGCGGCTGAGTGAACGTGGTCTGGACTCCTGTGGATGAGAGTCATGGTTTCAGAGACGCTGTAGAAGGACAGAACACCTGCTCTGTGATCCAGGTACACTCCTACTCTGGAGGACAGGAGGACCTGAGACGGGAGTGCGGATACTGTTGTAAACGAAATGAATAACTGTTTTGGTCACAATCTAAGGACCAAGATTTGTCATTGTCTTCCAAATAACTTTCATCCCCCTGCTCTGCTGATATTCTTGTATGCGACTGCTACACAATCTACTACCCCTCTCCACTCCACCTCCCAGTAACACGTCAGTCAGACTCTCTCTACTCAGGACCTGAGAATAATCAGTGAATCTGTCTGGTGACGAGAATAAGACTGTCTTGTTTCATGTATGTTGCTTTTCTGGCCCCCCTCACATAATACCAGCTGTGTGTTGCTGTGTTTGGATCCAGAGTGATCTCCTGTGAATATGTGAAGAACCCAGCTCTGGAGGTGGGCTCTGCTGCTGACAGTAAAACCTCCACTTCAGTCGGTGAGACGTTTGTCCATTCTTCTCTCAGGACGTCCTGTAGTTTGTCTCTGACTGCTGACAGGGCCGCCGTCACGTCCTCAAAGTAGCTCAGAGGACGGATGTTGATGCTGGAGGAGTGTGTAGCTTCACTGAGGGCTGGCAGTGAGGGGTAGCTGAGCAGAAAGTGGTTGTGATCCTCTGTGTGAGACAGCAGCTTCAGCTCAGCATCTCTCCTCTTCAGCTCAGCCATCTCCTGCTCCAGCTTCTCCTGGAGCTCTCTGACTCGACTCACTTCTCTCTTCTGCTGGGATCTGACCTGCTGCTTCACATCAGAGCTTCTCTTCTCCATGAGACGGATCAGCTCAGTGAACGTCTTCTCACTGTCCTCCACTGCTTTATCAGCAGAGCCATTGACGGCCTCCACCTCCTGCTGAAGCAGCTTCATCTCCGTCTCTCCGTCCTCGATTCTCTGCTGGATGTTTAGTCGACTCCCCTCCAGCTCTCTCTGCCTCTCAGTCCTCTCTGCTGCAGCTGACACCGTGTTGTGGCCTTTGTGTTCGTCCACAGAGCAGAGAGAACAGATACTCTGCTGATCAGTGCGGCAGAACAGCTTCTTCACCTCGTCGTGACGAGAGCAGATGTTCTCCTGGAGCTTCTTGGAGGGCTCCACCAGCTTGTGTTTTTTTAATTGAGCTACGTTATAATGAGACTGGAGGTGCTTCTCGCAGTACGATATAAGACACACGAGGCAGGACTTACAGGCTCTCAGCTTCCTCCCAGTGCAGACATCACAGGCCACATCTCCAGCTCCAGCATAGCAGAGATCAGCAGGAGCAGCTGGGGGTCCAGTCTTCTTCAGCTCCTCCACTAAAGCTGCTAACATGGTGTTCTTCAGCAGGACAGGCCTTGGTGTGAAGCTCTGCCTGCACTGAGGGCAGCTGTGGATTAGCTCTCCATCCCAGTGCTGTTTAATACACTTCATGCAGTAGCTGTGTCCACAGGGAATAGTGACCGGATCCTTCAGTAGATCCAGACAGATGGAACAAGAGAAGGTCTCCCGGTCCAGCTGAACTCCTTTCTGCGCCATTTCACCTCTCAGCAGCAGCGAGTGTGTGAGTTTCACTTCCTGAGAGCTGAAACTAGTGTGACAGGTTATCTGAACAGCATGTGTGTGTGTGCAGTGAATGTGGCCTATCAGCTCTTGTACTTTGCCCACATGTTGGTTACAGCCCTCCTCCTCAGTGTGGATCTGAAGGGGAGGAACCAGGAAGTACAGAGTGGAGCTGGCTGTGTCTGAGAGCAGGAAGAAGAGGGAGGGCTCATCAAACTCTGAGTCATTCCAGGAAGAGGAGCAGCGCTCAGACTCTGACCTACATATAGCAAGCCATTTGAGTATTTATTCCATATCCTTGATATCAGACGGAAGCTGCCTACAGTTGGCTCTTTGATTTCACTTGTTAGATATATGGTCACTAGTTTTGGCACTCTGCTTTACTAGTTAAATAAAACATATACTAGTCGCTCTTTTTCAGCAACTAGTGGCACTTTTGTCCGATAGTTACCACATAAGCCTTACTAGTTACGCCAGGAGCAGCACTAGTAGCACCAAAGTCCCAACATGTAAGCTTTTTGATGAACTAGTGGCCCTCTGACCGTACTAGTGACACTAAAAGTCTTACAAGTTAACTAGTGCGCTGCAAAAGCTCTGACATGTTAACTAGTTACAAAAAAGAAGCAGAACTAGTTCTAGTGGGGCTCAAAATGTCTCACGTTATAATATAGTATAATACGCACACACACACACACACACACGCACACACACACACACACACACACACACACACACAACACACACACACACACACACACACCACACACACACACACACACACACACACCCACACACACACACACACACACACCTCATCGTGTACAAAATGGCCTCTGGTTACTGTGATTTATTTTTATTTTTAAAGCCAATGTAGAGAACACTACCAACAGTGTGTCGTTGCTGTAATGTAAGGCTGACTTTCCCACATCCCCCCCCCCCCCCCCTTCTGCCCGACAACACTACGGACGCTGAAATGAAATGTGTTTTTTAGTGTTTTTGTGTAGAGAGAAAAGGGCTCTCTGTCAAATCACACAAATGTTATGGTCACTATTACAATATTAAGACTGCGGAAATGCAATGTAGGCATCATGATGACACAATCGTAATGAAAGCGTGGTATATTAAATGCATTAAATATATATATGACTGTGCTTTGAAGAGAGGGTTCACATGTGTTTGTGATGCCTTACATGTTTAACTCCCTATATCCAGCCACAAAGCACCCGTTCTGTTACTCTCCCACGCGTAAGGATTTGCACTTTTACATAGAAGCCTATTTAAGTTATTTTGAATTTAAAAATCGCAAATGTTTCTGGAATATTTGTACAGGTTGTGTAAATGGTTGTGTATAACTGTTGCTGTTTAACAGTTTCTTTTGAGTTCAACTGTAAATGACATCTGAATTTCCTCCTCCTCTTCCTCCTCCTCTTCCTCATGCCTTGATTCTCCCAACTTTTTTTTTTTTTTAAATAAATGTCGCATTAACAGCTCCTCGCGGTTCCATGTTTTATTTTTGAAATGGTGTCAAAAAGTATGCCTGTGACTTTCTCTGTAGAATGTTCTTTTTGTAGGTTCTGTATAAACTGTAAACATGAAGTAATCCGCTGCTGAAAATATTAAAGCCTAAAGGTGTTTACGCCTGCAGAAAAAAAAACAAGGTCTTTGGGAATCCTTACTGAGACAACAGCAGAGGTGTGAAGTAACTAAGTACATTTACTCAAGTACCGAACTCAAGTACAATTCTGAGGTACTTGTACTTGTGTATTTCAATGTGATGCTACTGTGTACTTTGACTAAACTACATGTATTTAATACCTTTAGTTTAAGATAAGATAAGATGAACCTTTATTAATCCCCGAGGGGAGATTCAGTTGTACAAAGCAGCAACAGGGTCAGCGTGAACAAAACAGTACAGCAAAGATTCACACAGATCAATAAAATCTAAAATAAATAATAAATAACATAAAATCAAGGAAATAATGATAATAATAATAAAAGACTATGAAAATAGGAGAAGAATAAAAATAAGAGTAAAATAACTGTCAGCATATATACATATTTGGTCGTCATCTAAATTCTAAAGTGCGGAATAAGTTAAAGTGACAAGTTAACATGGGTTGTGGAAACAGTGTATATTTATGACCAGTGATTTAATTTTATTTATTTTTCATATTTAACCCCTTATTGTGCAGCCTGATGGCTACAGGCACAAAGGACTGTCCGAGGCGCTTGGTGCGTTGTTGTGGAGGGATGAGTCTGTGGCTACAGATTTACAGATGTGGATGAATGATGTGAAATATAATCAAGTGTTGAATCAGACTTTAGTTCCACCTGGAGTAAATCCACCAGCTACCCTGCAGTATACAAAGTCATTCAGACTAGCTGCACCTTTACCAGCTTTGAGAACACTTTCATGATCAATCATTATAAAACATATCATATATATTATTCTGAAATGGACCAATCTGCACAACGACTACTTTTACTGTCGTTACTTTCACTATATTTTGATGAGAATACTTTTCTACTTTCACTTGAGGAACATTTTGAATGCAGGACTTTTACTGTAACAGAGTATTCCTACACTCTGGTACTTCTACTTTTACTCAAGTACAAGATCTGAGTACTTCTACTTTTATTCAAGTACAAGATCTGAGTACTTCTACTTTTACTCAAGTACAAGATCTGAGTACTTCTACTTTTACTCAAGTACAAGATCTGAGTATTTCTACTTTTGCTCAAGTACAAGATCTGAGTACTTCTACTTTTACTCAAGTACAAGATCTGAGTACTTCTACTTTTACTCAAGTACAATATATGAGTACTTCTACTTTTACTCACGTACAAGATCTGAGTACTTTTACTTGAGTAACATTTTGAATGCAGGACTTTTACTGTAACAGAGTATGGCAATTGTAATTAATTAAAGTACTTGAATAAATGTACTTTATGATAAAAAGTAAAAATCTATCCAGAAACATATTAACAAGGCCAAGGTTGGGAGATACCACACATAATAAAACACTGCAGATAATAAATGTATACCAATATATATATATACTCAAGTCATTTGTTATATTTTTATAGAATTGTTCCTTTGCATTTGCTTTCAAAATGTTTCCATTATATCAGTTTTTATACAATTAATTTAAGTGCTAATAAAGTTGAGTTGTGGAGACTGTTCTATTATTGTCATTGTACAGGTACAGCAAAATGAAAAAGCAATCCTGTCCGTGTATATCTACACATCAACAGCAACAGCAATATGGTTCTACGTACATACATTTGCATTCATACGATAAATAAATGCAGTTCAAATCACAGTGTTCAAAAACAGACAGGAAGTGAAATGTGCATGTCAGAGGTGATCACTTAACGCTGGCAGCTATATTTGTTTATCTGTAAGTAACGTGTTTTGTGAAACTTGTCGCAGTAGAGGCACAAGACACAACTAGGAAATGCATTTCCTGCTGAAAATGCGTGCAAATGCTGTAAGCTGCGCACAAGTTGCTGAATTTAGCTGAAAAGCTGAATATTGTAACAGTTGAATGGCGACTGCTGAACTTAGCGGAGAAATGCTTTGAATCAGAATTGTTACAGCTCAAATGCACTGACTTTGTTGAAAGCTTGAAAGTGAAATGGAAACTGGAAGAGTAGGACAAATAGTGATGAAGCTTAATATTTCAAAGAAAAGTTGAAAAGGTTTAAACCGTTTGAAATGACTGTCAGTGCTGATGGAAAACAGGCGGAAATAAATGGATTGTTTTACCCAGGAATAAGTGTTTACAAGGCGGGTAAAGTGTTCCTGCAGCCCCTCCATCACGGTAATAATGATTAGAAATCATTTCCAAGGCAGAAAGCTGTTTTTAAATCACCGTTGTCACTATTGTGGGGATTTAGGAATGTACCTGTGTGTTGCGGAGCTTCCCTGCACTTTAAATCCATTGATTTGCCTTTTTTTAGGGTGTTTTTGACTGTTTTTGCACTGTGCTCACTTGGCTGGTGCGTCCTCCTGTGGGGACTCATGATAACTGCACTCAAATGGCTTTTTAAACGGTTTTAAATCGTTTTTTCACTTTTAAAAACAGCTTTCTGCCCTGGAAATGATTTCTAATCATTATTACCGTTATGGAGGGGCTGCAGGAACACTTTACCCGCCTTTTAAACACTTATTCCTGGCAGTCATTTCAAACGGTTTAAACAACTACAGTAAATGTGTATTAAAGCAACCCTCCTGTGAAATATAGCTATGCGTACAAAGATGTTTGAGTGAGGGAGGGGTCAGACTGAGTGAGGATGAACACTGTGCTTTGTTTCAGGAGGAAACTCAGTTTTAGTCTCAGATCACTTCCACATGTTCTCCATCAGCTTCGTAGCACCTTGGACATAACACAAGAAGAACATCCTGTTTTTGTTTTTGAAAGACAAACCTTTATTAATGATCCAAACATTTCCTTTGATCACACATCCCATCAGTAAAGTGTGTTCAATGATTTCATGATCAGTTTCTCTTTATCCACCATGATGTGTTTCATCTCAGCTGTTTCAAACAGAACCAGACATGATTTACTTATTGATTATTATCATGATGAGTTATGTTCTATAAAACATCAGAGTACCCACTTTCTATTTGGACAACAACAACAACAACAACAACAACAACAACAACAATTAGTTATCATTATATAGTCATCATAATATCATTTTAAATAAACATGTGATGATGAAATAAGTGTGATAACCATCTGGAACTCATGTGTTTGTTAATTTGGGCAACAATAACATTTAATCTGTCAGAATAATACATGTGATTATAAATGTCTCTGTTGTTTTAGAGCCAGAATAAAATGTGTAGAATAAAAGAAGCTGTGCTGCTTTCTCTCTGAAGACTCGTACACTACAAGAGAAACAACAACAAGAATCAAAAGAAATATCCAACACATATTTAGAGCAAAGTTTACATATCAGTTCAGGTGAACAAGGATCCTCCTGAGCAGTGACAGCCTCCATGGCGACACAGACAAAGGAAGGAGCCGGAAGAAAGTCCAACATCTACAGAACAACTCGTGAGAAGATGTTGAAGCCCCGCCCATCATGTTTGATTGACAGCTGATCTCTGCAGTGAAGACATGGACAATCAGCTCTGAAGGACACACGGTGAGTTTAAGAAGTAGAAGAGTTCCTCCAAGGACTTCAGGCTATTTGAGTTTACAGAAACTCAGCAGTGGCTCCATAATCATAAAGACTAAACTCCAGCATGTAGCGGCTGAGTGAACGTGGTCTGGACTCTGTGGAGGAGAGTCATGGTTTCAGAGACGCTGTAGAAGGACAGAACACCTGCTCTGTGATCCAGGTACACTCCTACTCTGGAGGACAGAGGACCTGAGACGGGAGTGCGGATACTGTTGTAATGAAATGAATAACTGTTTTGGAAACACTCTAAGGACCAAGATTTGTCATTGAATCCAAATACACTTTCCAGCTTCCATGCTCTGCTGATACTCTTGTATGCGACTGCTACTTCAACTCCTCCCCCTCTCCACTCCACCTCCCAGTAACAACGTCCACTCAGACTCTCTCTACTCAGGACCTGAGGATAATCAGTGAATCTGTCTGGGTGACGAGAATAAGGCTGTTCTTGTTTCATGCGTGTTGCTTTTCTGCCCGCCTCAGATAATACCAGCTGTGTGTGTGCTGTGTTTGGATCCAGAGTGATCTCCTGTGAATATGTGAAGAACCCAGCTCTGGTGGTGGGCTCTGCTGCTGACAGTAAAATCTCCACTTCAGTCGGTGAGACGTTTGTCCATTCCTCTCTCAGGACGTCCTGTAGTTTGTCTCTGACTGCTGACAGGGCCGCCGTCACGTCCTCAAAGTAGCTCAGAGGACGGATGTTGATGCTGGAGGAGTGTGTAGCTTCACTGAGGGCTGGCAGTGAGGGGTAGCTGAGCAGGAACTGGTTGTGATCCTCTGTGTGAGACAGCAGCTTCAGCTCAGCGTCTCTCCTCTTCAGCTCAGCCATCTCCTGCTCCAGCTTCTCCTGGAGCTCTCTGACTCGACTCACTTCTCTCTTCTGCTGGGATCTGAGCTGCTGCTTCACATCAGAGCTTCTCTTCTCCATGAGACGGATCAGCTCAGTGAACGTCTTCTCACTGTCCTCCACTGCTTTATCAGCAGAGCCATTGACGGCCTCCACCTCCTGCTGAAGCAGCTTCACCTCCTTCTCTCCGTCCTGGATCCTCTGCTGGATGTTTAGTCGACTCCCCTCCAGCTCTCTCTGCCTCTCAGTCCTCTCTGCTGCAGCAGACACCGTGTCGTGGCCTTTGTGTTCGTCCACAGAGCAGAGATAACAGATACTCTGCTGATCAGTGCGGCAGAACAGCTTCTTCACCTCGTCGTGACGAGAGCAGATGTTCTCCTGGAGCTTCTTGGAGGGCTCCACCAGCTTGTGCTTTCTAAAGACAGGTGATTCATAATGAGGCTGGAGGTGTTGGTCACAGTAAGAGGCCAGACACACCAGGCAGGACTTACAGGCTCTCAGTTTCCTCCCAGTGCAGACATCACAGGCCACATCTCCAGCTCCAGCATAGCAGAGATCAGCAGGAGCAGCTGGGGGTCCAGTCTTCTTCAGCTCCTCCACTAAAGCTGCTAACATGGTGTTCTTCAGCAGGACAGGCCTCGGTGTGAAGCTCTGCCTGCACTGAGGGCAGCTGTGGATTAGCTCTCCATCCCAGTGCTGTTTAATACACTTCATGCAGTAGCTGTGTCCACAGGGAATAGCCACCGGATCCTTCAGTAGATCCAGACAGATGGAACAAGAGAAGGTTTCCCGGTCCAGCTGAACTCCTTTCTGCGCCATTTCACCACTCAGCAGCAGCGAGTGTGAGTTTCACTTCCTGAGAGCTGAAACTAGTGTGACAGGTTATCTGAACAGCATGTGTGTGTGTGCAGTGAATGTGGCCTATCAGCTCTTGTACTTTGCCCACATGTTGGTTACAGCCCTCCTCCTCAGTGTGGATCTGAAGGGGAGGAACCAGGAAGTACAGAGTGGAGCTGGCTGTGTCTGAGAGCAGGAAGAAGAGGGAGCGCTCATCAAACTCTGAGTCATTCCAGGAAGAGGAGCAGCGCTCAGACTCTGACCTACATATAGCAAGCCATTTGAGTATTTATTCCATATCCTTGATATCAGACGGAAGCTACCTACAGTTGGCTCTTTGATTTCACTTGTTAGATATATGGTCACTAGTTTTGCACTCTGCTTTACTAGTTAAATAAAACATTATACTAGTCGCTCTTTTTCAGCAACTAGTGGCACTTTTGTCCGATAGTTACCACATAAGCCTTACTAGTTACGCCAGGAGCAGCACTAGTAGCACCAAAGTCCCAACATGTAAGCTTTTGATGAACTAGTGGCCCTCTGACCGTACTAGTGACACTAAAAGTCTTACAAGTTAACTAGTGCACTGCAAAAGCTCTGGCATGTTAACTAGTTACAAAAAAGAAGCAGAACTAGTTAACTAGTGGGGCTCAAAATGTCTACACGTTATACTACGGCCAGTATAATACACACACACACACACACACACACACACACACACACACACACACACACACACACACACACACACACACACACACACACACACACACACACACACACACACACACACACACACACACACACACACGTCAGTCAGATTTTCTTTCCTTGCATCACAGCATCACAACAACAAGACACATATTTAAAGAGGCCCTATTATGCTTTTTGGGGGGTTTACCCTTGACTGTAGTGTGTTCTATAGGTTTCTGTGCATGTCAATGGTCTGCAGAGGCTAAAATCCCTGTGTTCCCTCAATTGGACTCCTTTGTTTACTCCAACACATTGTACGATAGGCTAAGGCGGCGGGACATCTCTAAGAACCAATCACATCAGAGCCGGCCAGCTCACCAATCAGAGCAGACTGGGCTCTGGTTTCAGACAGAGGGTGAAAAGAGGGATACATTAGGGCTTTCTGAACATTAAAGCATGTAAACATCTAGGGGCACAACATACAAATATGAGAGCATACTTCTTTAAGACAAGAAACAAACATTTGATATAATATTAAATCACAGTTTGGGATTTTACCCCGTATTTAATTTCAGGATTGTTTGTGCACATAAAGAGTGCCTCAGTCTTATTTAACAATTCTTTTTTTAAAGGTAATAATTAACATTTACTCTCCAGCACATGATTTGGCTCGATGACAATGTCGATATATTATTATAGCAGGTGGATTCATAGACCGTTTGACTTGTGGAGAAACCCTTGGACCATAGAGTTCATAATCACAAACACATTTGAGTGTACTCACCTAAAAATGACCTTTTTGCAGATCACACACACACACACACACACACACACACACACACACACACACACACACACACACACACACACACACACACACCACACACACACACACACAACACACACACACACACACACACACACACACACACACACACACACACACACACACAGCCTGTAACCTATGGACTACTACTGCCCCACCTCATCGTGTACAAAATGGCCTCTGGTTACTGTGATTTATTTTTATTTTTTAAAGCCAATGTAGAGAACACTACCAAACAGTGTGTCGTTGCTGTAATGTAAGGCTGACTTTCCCACATCCCCCCCCCCCCCCCCCCTTCTGCCCGACAACACTACGGACGCTGAAATGAAATGTGTTTTTTAGTGTTTTTGTGTAGAGAGAAAAGGGCTCTCTGTCAAATCACACAAATGTTATGGTCACTATTACAATATTAAGACTGCGGAAATGCAATGTAAGGCATCATGATGACACAATCGTAAATGAAAGCGTGGTATATTAAATGCATTAAATATATATATGACTGTGCTTTGAAGAGAGGGTTCACATGTGTTTGTGATGCCTTACATGTTTAACTCCCTATATCCAGCCACAAAGCACCCGTTCTGTTACTCTCCCACGCGTAAGGATTTGCACTTTTACATAGAAGCCTATTTAAGTTATTTTGAATTTAAAAATCGCAAATTTTTCGGGAATATTTGTACAGGTTGTGTAAATGGTTGTGTATAACTGTTGCTGTTTAACAGTTTCTTTTGAGTTCAACTGTAAATGACATCTGAATTTCCTCCTCCTCTTCCTCCTCCTCTTCCTCATGCCTTGATTCTCCCAACTTTTTTTTTTTTTAAATAAATGTCGCATTAACAGCTCCTCGCGGTTCCATGTTTTATTTTGAAATGGTGTCAAAAAGTATGCCTGTGACTTTCTCTGTAGAATGTTCTTTTTGTAGTTTCTGTATAAACTGTAAACATGAAGTAATCCCGCTGAAAATATTAAAGCCTAAAGGTGTTTACGCCTGCAGAAAAAAAACAAGGTCTTTGGGAATCCTTACTGAGACAACAGCAGAGGTGTAAAGTAACTAAGTACATTTACTCAAGTACCTGAACTAAGTACAATTCTGAGGTAGCCTACTTGTGTATTTCAATGTGATGCTGCTGTGTACTTCTACTCCACTACAGTTCAGAGGTAAATGGTGTACTTTATTTAATACCTTTAGTTACTTCACAGATGTGGATGAATGATGTGAAATATAATCAAGTGTTAAATCAGACTTTAGTTCCACCTGGAGTAAATTCACAAGCTAGAGTCTCACAAAAAAACGTGTAATAACTACGTTGGTCCACAACGTAGGACGTAGTATTTCTACAAAAACGCCTCTGAAATTGTAAGATCCCTACGTTTTTTTTCACCATTCATTCCAATGGCTGGCGTCTATGTCACGTGATCTTCACATTTCTCCCTGCAGAAAAAAAAAACATGGCCGAACTTCGTTTTATTCTCGGTGTAAAATGCCTATTTTAAAGGTTAGTTTGGTCCATTAAAATGCGTTTTGATGTCATTTGATGCGAGAAATATGAGTTGTTATTTCAGATTATGTGTGCAGTGGATGCACATGATCTTTAGTTTGCTAGTTATTACGAAGATTACTTCAGGAAATTGTGTCTATAGAACGTTTTCATTGTGACCAAGGTGGTTGCTAGGGACGCTGCTATCGATATTATTTCTGTTATGTTGTGTAACTGTTTAATGGTGTTATCTTTATTGCTACCCCCTTCCCCGTCAATGTATAGTGTTGGTCCACAGAGCAAACGTATTAGTTTAACAAAATCCGCATCTAAAATTGTGGCATAGATACGTTATTTTCCCCTGTGCAATTCTCCATTTACTCAATAACACATAATTATCCTTGTGTTTATTTATTTGTTTGATTAATTAATAAACACAAGTTGGAGTCCGTCAGGACCGAGGGTCGGAGCAGCTCATTTGCTTTACAGAATATTACACCCGGAAGTAAGTATTCTCTCCGCGTCGCTTGACAAACCCCGTGATAGTCTTCAAGCTCTGTGATTGGAGAGTGTGCCGAGCGTCGAACAGCACTTGAAATGGGATGGAACCACGGCAGACTGTCCAAAACTGGATTTGAACGGGTCCACCCCGTACCCCCCACCCCGTCCCCAGAACTACACATGGCTATTGTGTTTCGCAACCATGTTCGCAACATGTTCTATGGCACGTCTCTACTGGGAGTTGTAGTTTTAAAAGACGTTTTCGTATTTCCCATAATAAGAAGTTGCCAGTATTAAACTGTGTCCATCCCTGGAGGTTTAGGGGATAGGAAACACTCAAATGTAAAACATATAATTAATAAATGGGTGAAAATTGCTTGTGCCCATAATGGGCTAGCATTACCCACATGTCCAGCTAAGGTCAGAAGAGCTTTATTTAACTAGCTGGTCTTATGTTGTGACCCTGTTGTTAATTGATAACATTACATTACATTAATTGATAAGCCTGAAACATGCACTTGTCAAGGTCAGAGGCACATTTTGCAAATATGGCAGTAGCCATCGATCATCTTAAGATAAGATATACTTTATTGATCCCAAGTTGGAAACATTTTGCGTTACATCAGCATGTGTAACAGTTGTAAATATGCAGTGGTGTATATTTGTAAATCATTTAGTATAATCACACAAATTCTGTGTTTTATATTTAATAATTCTGTGTTCTTTATTTATTGATTGTTCAATACCTGACAAGGCCGGAGATGAAAAACTTTGGTCGCAGGTTCCTCAACAGTGCATTACAAGACATCTATCAATATGTGTGTACCTCCACCATTAAATTGTCGTGTTCTGCACATTTCTTATACTATCTACCAGAGGTGTGGACTCGAGTCACATGACTTGGAATCGAGTCAGACTCGAGTCACACATTTTATGACTTGAGACTCGACTTGACATCACAAAAGACTTGCGACTCGACTTGGACTTGAACACCAATGACTCGGGACTTGACTTGGACTTGAGCCTTCTGACTTGAGGTGACTTGCTACTTTAATTCAGAGGTCTCCAACACGCCGATCGCGAGCTGCCGCTAGAAGAGCAGACTCCCGTCGGGGAAAGCAGAATCTTCAGCCGCTCCTACTCTTGCTGAGAATCCTTGCAGGCAGGGGCGGGTCTTTATTTAGCTGGGCCACCATGCGGCCAATCATATGCGAGGACACACTAGGATCATACCATTATGTGAAAGAAGGGTGGGGGCACAGCATGTGCAGAGCGACGGGGGAGACGGGGAGCCGGATTTAAATGCAAGCGCGTCGGAAAAAAGTCAAGAAATGAGCGAAAACCGAAAAAAAGAAGCAGCATCTGGCTGCTTTTCAATGATATTGGAGAAAGCAAAGCTGAGTGCAGGATTTCTAAAATGAGAATAACCTTCAGAGCAGGGTAAACACTCAGGATTTATTGTCAGAGGTGGGAGAAGTTCAGACAATTAAAAAA